ATTCCTCATTATAGATCTCTTTGGGTGAGAATGAATTACCGTATAGCGGAAAATTTTCGTGGCCCAAAATTTTCGTGGATTTCGCGTTTTTTTCGAAACCCACGAAAATAAAATCCGCGAAAATCGATTTTATACGGTTTAAGATGGCCGAATTGTAGAAAACCACGAAAATTAAAGCCACGAAATTGATTTTTGGACGGATCCATGAAAATTTTGGGCCACGAAAATTTTCCGCTATACGGTACGTCAAAGAATGATATACGGTAAGGGGCGTGACTCAGCCTGGCTGACTCTGAAATAATTTTCGTGGACGGCAACTTTCTATGGAGTATATGAATGGGCTAATGCAGAAAGCAAGCTCTATAAAGAATATGCTTCATATTGCACCAAATCTCTTTTAGGAGATGCTTAGCAGCGACCATTCTTTCCTCCAGCCAGTTTTTGTAGCTTGAAAAAGCTCCATGCCAACGAAAAGAATCAGTTTTGCCTTTTCTCCATTCATCCTCCATTGAATCTTGCTGTCCAAAATGGCGGCCACTTATCACCGTAGGTGGATACCGTAATAAACAGTAATGATATTCATAGGCCACCGTCAATCTCACCTGAAGAGGTCTATAACTATCAAGTAATACCAGTACAACATCAAAACGACTCAACAGTGGACTAGCCAATGCAACATTAATACCTGTACTCTAACAAGAATAAAAGAAGAGAAGAGGATCAATGACCATCATATTTATTTATTTGTGAATTACATTATAAGCAAACTATAGGAAGCCTTGATTAGCTTATACACAACACATACATGTATAAAAATTAGCACTACATGTGCACAATGTACATCATTAGTTGATTGATCTCACTAGTTCAGGATCATAGTTTCCCTTAGGATTAGTTGCTGCTAGAATAGAACAACGAATGTTTAACTTGCACACAAGGCCAACCTGTAATAATAATAATAATAATAATAACAAACAAGTCCATTCAGGATTGTCTATATTCATCATGCATAATTGGAATAAAAGAGCTCTGAAATCATCACATCATACCTTTGCAACACTAATAGTTTGTTGCTCCATTGCTTCATGTATACAGGATCTGTCTCTATCATTAATACTATTAAACTCATCTGTAGCATGAGAAATAGGAGAAGAGAGAACAAAAAGAAGCAAGAGAAAGAAGGTAAAAATTTGCTTGTTTGTTAACATCATGCTTACATGTACCTATGCAACACAGTCCACCATCAGCTAATACTAAAGCACCAGCTTTTAACTGCCATTCACTGCCATCCTATTTATATATGATCACAGTGTAAAAGGATATAGTCATGTACATATACATGTACATGCAGTTCATAGTGTGTAGGGATTTGGAGTCTGATATCAAACATACGCACAAATTTACAATTGTAAATTTTTTGGAAATTGGTACAAAATTTTTGATAAAACTATTCGTGAACATCACAACAAATTTAGAGCCAAAAGGCTATGCATGTATTTCACTCATC